TTATTAAATTACAAGGACAATATATGGTACAATGCTTTTAATGTCAGAACCTTAAAGTGGCCCTTATAAAGTCAACCTCGCCATCCAATAGCTGTATGCTCAGTGCCAACAAGGTAGTTTAAGCTTGGCTTATAATAAATTATCAGATTTTTGAGGAATTGATTAAACCCACCTTCACTAAAAATTCCACTGTTAGCATGGCTGCATATGAACTAAGAGCGTGGTTGTGATAGCTAACTTTCTCCTTCCCCCTGTTATGCTTGTCTTTTGGCATTTTGTCCTGAGCTTGGTACACAACAGGTTGAAATTGAGAATGAATTACTTTAAATTCATTCTCAATTTCAACCTGCTTTTCTTTCCACCATTCCAGCCTTGATTTTAATTCCTTTTCAACAGCTATGAGAGAGTACAGAATATCGCTGTAGTGTACACTAAGTTCCAAAATCCTCAGAGTACATTTTCAATGTTTTATTAGAGAAGCTTTATTTATTTGACAAAATAATGACAAGCATTATTTGAACACAAGTAAACTTGCACTGACATGTCTTAAATTGAATTTACCTCTTAATTAGCACCATAATAATAGTCAAATAATATATTATGCACTGTTACAGTACAGTCACAAGATGTATTAGTCCAAGTAAACAACAGATTTCACTCAGTCATACAAGCTCTGACAATGCACAATTCTTCAAAAAGAGACATGTGGTACACTTTCAAAATACATCATTTACATTGTATATTTTACTTTTTTTAAAACATTTGACTTCATTACCTGAATCTTTTAACTGAATCTCTTCCAACTTTGTTCCAAAATCCTGGATAAGAATACCACTGTCTAGCATTTCCTTGAAATACTATATCAATGGGAATAAATTACCAGACAATTTTGTGAATTGAGCACAGTTGAATGTGACATAAATCATAAGAGTGAAGGGTGGTGTTTCGCGAACCATTAATAGCACCATAACTGCCTTAAAATCATAATAGAATAAATCAAAAAAATATTAATGTTCAGGAACTGTACTAACCTTTTGACATGCCTCACAGCATGTTACCTTGTTTAGAATACATAGCTTTGCCGCTTCAGGGTCATCATAGTGGGCTATCATTTTGTCTGTAGGCAATGACTTTTCCACAATTTCCTCAAGGGATGAAAGAATTTTTCTCTGAGTGCTGCCTAATGGAATAAAACACATTGAAGGTTACAATAACTTTAATCACATAAAAGAGGTAAAATACATTCAGATGTATTAGACATGAATAAAATTAACATTCATATAGTTAATTTGAAATGACAACATAAACTATTAGATAAAAACAAAACAAAACACATCTATCATGCAGTCAGGAAAATCATTAGCAATTGAATAAAGCTAGTAATAATAATACTGTCGTTAAAAATTATCTTTGTGTCTATGGTGAAGTTTCATTAAATTTATATGATTATAAACAGCTGCTGATGATAAGCTTATTAACCTAAAAATAAATTGGTCTAGCCTGAGAATGAAGCAACAGAAATGTTGTGTCTCCCAGCAGCAGTTTGTTGCCCCTGCTTAAGTTTAACAGAGATTCTATCCCCCTTAAAATTTGAGGGGCCGTATTGGGAAAGTTCCTCATTGCACTCTTGCAGGGAGCCAATCTTGTGAGCGAGCAGGCCAATACTTTTCAATAGCTGTTCTGTATTTCGCATCTCACAATGCAGCGCACAGAGACTCATTGAAGATAAATCTTCATCAAGAAGGCATGTGAGATCATCTCGTAGACCAGTGAATCTATATTTGACAGTTTAAGAAAAGGAAAATGGCACACATTAGGACTTTTGTACATGATTTTAACTTACTAATAAACTTACTTTAAAAACAGGTTTCACTTTAAACTATGAAACCACAGAACTAGTGAGAGTAGACAGCCACTTTTTTTTTCCATTTTCCAACTGGGCTGCCCTGAATATGGCACTTTTCCACAAAATACTACCAGTTTCAACTCCAGAGTAAACTGTAAGGAGAAAATTAAAAGACCTAACTTCAACGTTTTTTTTTAAGCATGTCTTCCATACCCGCCAATGTTTGCCTTTATTTGCTGGAAATGTTCTAAGCAGACTTCATGTGGTCCTAAGTCACAGTCGCAGGCCTACACAAAAAGATGGAGAAAATAACAACTATTACATTACAGTGAATAGTGGGACAAACATCCTTTCAATTTTGCTCAATGAAGAGGCTAGTCCTTTTATTACCCGCTGTGTTTAATACTTAAAAGTCCTTCTTGACTTGCTTGTTCAGTCAGTAATCACTGAGAAATAATGAATAGGGCTAGGAACAGCTAACTTCCCTTTCAGCTCATGGCCTAATATCTCACTTAATTACTTTAGAGTCTCACATTTCTTTTAAAACCTTACTCTTAAAACTGTACAGAACAGACAGCACTCCACATTAAGGCCTTGCCCCCCAAGCATGAACTTTTCATCATTGANATAGCACACATTAGGACTTTTGTACATGATTTTAACTCACTAATAAACTTACTTTAAAAACAGGTTTTACTATAAACTATGAAACTGCAGAACTAGTAAGAGTAGACAGCCACTTTTTTTCCATTTTCCACCTGGGCTACATTGAATATGGCACTTTTCCACAAAATACTACCAGTTTCAACTCCAGAGTAAACTGTAAGGAGAAAATTAAAAGACCTAACTTCAATGTTTTTCTTGTTTTTGTTTGTTTTTTTGAAGCATGTCTTCCATACCCGCCAATGTTTGCCTTTATTTGCTGGAAATGTTCCAAGCAGACTTCATGTGGTCCTAAGTCACAGTCGCAGGCCTACACAAAAAGATGGAGAAAATAACAGTTATTACATTAGTGAATAGTGGGACAAACATCCTTTCAATTTTGCTCAATGAAGAGGCTAGTCCTTTTATCACCCGCTGTGTTTGATACTTAAAAGTCCTTCTTGCCTTGCTTGTTCAGTCAGTAATCACCGAGAAATAATGATGAATAGGGCTAGGAACAGCTAACTTCCCTTTCAGCCCATGACCTAATATCTCACTTAATTACTTTAGAATCTCACATTTCTTTTAAAACCTTACTCTCAAAACTGTACAGAACAGACAGCACTCCACATTCAGGCCTTGCCCCCCAAGCATGAACTTTTCATCATTGATTGTTGAACAAGTCAAAACCAGACCATGTGCATTTGACAACTCCGGTTTAATNCTGGTGTTCCTGCTGCAATATATGCACTTCGGAGTTTAAGATATCATGGCATTATTAGAGGTGCATCCATTCTATATACCTTTTGTTCTGTGCAAAATGCTCCTCTTAAGAATGGAATCTGGCACACAGATTTAAATTAATGATTACCCTTGAAACTTACCCGGTAGTGCTTTCCATCCACGTAAATTCCATTTCTCTTGATTTCATCTTTTTGCTTGTTTAAGGTGACAACAATTCTTTTAAGCTCCTCCCTTTACAAAACAAGATGTAAGAGTGAGTTTAATTTAGGCTAGAGTTATTTCCAAAGTAATTTTACAGATAAATTGGAAGGTTTCCATTTGTCTGATGGTAAATATCAATAGAAATTGCAAAACATGTAAGTAGTTTGGCCTGACTTTGGGGAGGACTTTCAATAGTTGATAATAAAACTGACCTTTTCTCTCTGCAATTGGCTATAGAAATGGGCATGACTGACTTTGCACTCTGAGCTGAATGACACCCATCATCCAAAGGAACAACACCAAATGTCAGCTGGTCTTTCCCTAAAAACACGAAAATTATTAGCTTATTGTATATCAATATCAATGCATTGCAAGTACCGAATATTTGCCCTTAAACTCCCAGGTCAATAATTATGGAGAGAGAAAATGTTGTTCTAACTTTGAATGAGATACTAAATGGTGTGACTGTTGAAACAAATAAATATTAAAGTTTCTCTTTGCACTAGCTTTTCTTTGGGAGGTCATAAGTTCCTATGGTTTGAGTTCTCTCCATATGAAAGCTTCTAGATCTTTCCTTTAACCTCTCTCAATGTGCTATACTCTTACTAATATTTTTGCCTGATCCACTTTTATGAAAACAATAGTTTGTTTTTCTCTTGTTTTCTCTTATAGCAAGTGGCCAAGTATTTACACTCTGATATTAATCCA